TCAAAATCATCATATCAAGAAGACAGTACTGGCAAAAACGGCCCACCGGTAAAAGCGGAAGAATACAGATGGCTCAAAGATCCAAGAAGGAGTGGGAGCCGGTATATACAGAGGCAGAGCAAATACGAGAATCGCACTCAGCAACTTTGTTCCAGGCAGAAGTAGCGGCCATCGAACACTGTATAGGGGAAATAAATAGGCAGAAGGTCACAAATTAAACCATTGCCATTTTCTCCGACAGCCAGGTGGCGATTAGGACGCTCAGCTCCTTTCGAATCTTCTCAAGGTTGGTGGAAATGGGTCTGAGCACACTCAAGGAGCTAAGTACCCAAAATAGGGTCACTCTAGCTTGAGTACCCGGACATGAGGGTCATAAAGGCAATGAGAAGGCCGATATTCTAGCCCGTGAAGGCGAATCCAAGCTATGATCGGCCAAGAACCCTTCTGCGGGGTAGCGAAAGCATATATACAGATATCCATAAACTCATAGATGCTGAGTCGATAGATTGGTGGAATAAGCTCCCAGGAATGAGGCAAGTGGAAGAGTTCATAAAGAAACAATCGCCTAGATTCACGGAAGACCTGCAAACCACAACCGTGAGATTGTAAGGGTAGTGGTGGGTCTACTAACGGGACAAAGCCGACTCAGGAAACATTTGAGCAACATGGGTCTGACAGAAAAAAACCCAATGCAGGTTCTGTCAAAAATAGGAAGAAACCGCACTGCATGTGTTTTGTGCATGCTGAGACATGCAAGGTACGGGAAAGAGAAACCAGAGGCTGCCAGCTATATGTAGGGGTCATTGTCAAGGCTATGGAGTCTCATCAAAGAGATCAAGCTAGACAATGAGCTCTAACAACCAAGAAGCATCACAATATATCTGAAAAGGTCGCAGTGAATCTGGGCAGAAGTCAGCTCCCCGAGAATCTAATCTACCAAGTCTAACGTTCTTTTGTAGTTATTGGGAATATTATTAAGTTCTCGTAGATCCAAAAGAATTAGAAAGCTAGTAATAGTGTAGGTTTGTCTATCTTCTAAATTGTTATCAATGAAATTGGCACCTAAGATTATGACCCTTTTTGACTGCACACTTCATGTGTTTCAAAAGATTCAACAAAATTATTAAATTCATCAAATGTTGAAGATGGAGGAATGTAAATAACTACAACATAGAAAAAACATAATGAGATGAATAGTAGTGACAGAGTAAGAGGTCGATGCCGGGAAAATTTTAATCAAGTTGAGGAGTGTTGAGAACCTCAGACCACCACCAGTTGACAAATTTAAGCTTACGATCTTTTCTGTATTCATCATAATAGGTCGGGAATAGTTTGCTTTAATTTACATCAGGTTTCAGCGAATAATAAAGGATCTTAGGCCAACAAGACTTCAGTTAACGTTCAACTCACATTCCAAAAATCAAAAATGCAATGACCAACTGAAATTTATGAAGCCGTTTCACGATTCACTATTCGAAAGATTAATTTATATAAATATATTTCATTCTTGGCAAAGCTCGCAAGGAAGAAAAAATAATTGTCACACATGTTTTATTTTATCCAGCATATGCGTATAAAACTGTATTTTTGGCATGTTGTCACTTTTGAAATGAACTAACATTTGTGAGCGCTGTAAATCTTGGTATTCAAAAAAGTTAAAGGCTATTCTATATTTACGATTCGATTCGAAGGAGGTGTTGAGAATCGGTTCGGTTTTGAATTTGTATAAACAAACCTTCGGGCAATATTCGATGCATTATCAAAATGTACAGGGAATATCCAGAGATAGTTCTTGAAGGGAAGGAACTGGTGCATTTGTTTTTTCTATGGTATGGTAGAAATGGTTAGGTGAGAGCCACTCTGGAAACTCTTGGAAAAAAGTTCATCGACAGGTCTGTTTCATGGTATTCTTTCGAGTCTTCGTTCAACAAATGGTAACTACTGATCGAAGATGACAATGATAAAGGTGGTAAAAGTGTCTTTATTTTCTCACATACCTTTCTTCAACTCAAAATATTTCATGGGATAACTGATTATGAAGGAGTTTTCATCAATTAATCAATGTTGATATTTTAGTTTTGGGACTAGCATTTATTGATCATGCAGTTATTAAAAAGGGGGTCCAACACGAAAAGGAGTTGGATCCGTTAATTATATTATTGATGAGACTGATCAGAACTTTAAAAGAGTTTATAACCTACCTTGGTATTTATGTAATTACCAAAAGGTAGTTCGGCCCAGGCTACTCGATTATTGTCGGGGCTGGACGTGGGTAAGGAATATATGTTTTTTGTACAGTAGAAATAGATGGGAAAAAAAGTAAGCCCTGGGGTGCCAGTTGAACGGATTCAACAGGGAAGGGGTTAGAGAAATAACCAAACAGTCAAGCTTGAAATTTATATTAAATTGATATATAGAAAGAAATATTTACAAACTTCACTACCAACTATGTAATAACTCATAAATTGATTTTCATATGTTATTTGCAACGAACAAATGTAGAAAAAAACAGGTAAATATATAAACATCAAGTTTAAAGAATCAATACTTAATACAAAAAACGTTCACAGTAAAGATATAGGTTGTTTTGATCACGATAGTACTACTGGAGAACTCCTTCTTCGGAACAATATCGAATAAAAAGATTCGAGTATTGAACTGACAGAGATAAACCTTAACGTAAATTGAAAATGAGGGAACAAATGAGCAGTTAAAAGTAACTGCCTGAATCTTAATTTATCTAGAATCTACTTTTCGATTAACTTCAATCAAACTCGATAATTATTACCCAAGTCAACAGCTGTCTTAGGTGTACAGAGGAAAGGAAAATGCTTAAAACTATCCTCTAATTTTAGGAATGAACTGGATCTCAGTACTCAGACCGCTCCAAAATATATCAATAATACCAGGGCTTCTACTCACGTGTTATCATTTTTGATATTTTTCTTATATACTTGCTACGGCTCTCCGTTGATACTTTCTAGAGTGTCCCCTTATACTTCAAAGAATGATATGTATGATGCAATATAGCTTTTCCGAAGAATTTATCCCATTACTAGATAAATATGCCTTGACAGCTTTTTTTATCACCAAATAAATGAATAAAAGGTCTGACAGTGCTCGACGTGAATCTTTCATAGGTGATCTTATTATTCTTGTCCAAAAAATATTTCAAGAATAGGAAATGAAAATATTGAATTGATTAATTTGACTGATCTTAGATGTTTTAAAGTTTCGGACAGTCTCTAGCTAGAACCTTGATTTCGTGTTGGCTTTACGATAGACACTAATCTGAATCGTTTATAAATCCTGACCGTGAAAATCTTATCGGTTTTATTTACTCCTACTTACTAGATAACCCACTATCCAGCAATGTGGTGATAAAATAACAAACCTACAGGGCGGCTCTCTGATTCTTCTGATATCAGAAATTTAAACCGTTACAAGTTTCGCTGACATGTCTCATTAGAAAACTATTGTAACGAATCGACAACCGTCGGTTGAACTCTAGTTGAGTACCGAAACGACTATAGAATTCTAGAACAATAGTTACCGATATATAAGGCCGGCTTCTCGTCCCAAAAGGAAATGGAGTTCAGAAAGTGAATCGAGCGGTTAAACAAGGAATTCAAATAGTGGAAATAAATTAAACGTTAGTTGCTAAGTGTTGTAAATAAATTAGTTTGTGATAGCGAAATTTTGTTGTAAATAAATTTGTTCAAGACAGTTAATTCGTCAATTTGTTACACTATATAGAAAATAGTATAACTACTGTATTATTATATTTTGAGCAGAACAAGGTGTTTTTACAAGGTATCATTCGACTGCAACTGAATTTTGAAGCAGTTATCATCAACCGATTGGGATGCAATTCTGCTTACAAGTTTAGTTTGGCTGACAAAGCATAATTAGCTAAGTAACGATTAGCTAAATGATGATTAGCTAGTCTATGCTCGATCGTAAAACTCACGTAATTGATAACCTACTAGTATTAAATCCATATAACTTTCAATCAACCTTAACCTCCAAAAAACACTTGTACAACTTTCATAACTCTCGTTCTACTATTTTGTGGGATAGGACAGTTTGAGGGCAGGAACGTGTTGGATATCGTGCAAGACCGGTGTATCGCGTTATATCGCCCTTTAAGGCAACTATATTAGCTCACGAATCTTCTAGTCCAGCTGTTACTTATCGCTAATCGAGACTCTCTGCAACTTCAACATTTCGTCCCCTTCTCCAGAGATAATATTATTTACATGTGGCTGTATGACGTCAGCATATTTCCTATAGCTCACGAAAATTTGATATGAACAATCAGCAGCAGCTAATCAAACTACGTTGGTTATATTGGTTTAAAAAATGAATATTTTCTCATTTGGCTACGTGTAGGTCACACCCTGTATACATACTTACAATACGCAGTATGAACCAGGGCCTGTTCCTGGCTTCCTCATTGCGCACGAATTTTCTAACGTTTAGAACTACGGTTGCCATTTTTTTTTGCAATTCAAGTACATTGGTTATTAAACGTAATAAAAAAAGTACAAAGTAGTAAAGTTGCTAGTAATTCATTTTTATCAGTTCAGGTACAGTTGGCAACCTTGACGTTTAGAATACTTGATAGCCTCAGTCCTGCCTAAACTTTCATAAAAAAATTGCATTTTTTCTGAATACTTTCTGTCTAAGACAGATCCTTGACTTGCGCAGCGTGTTGACCTCGCACAGATCATGTCTCATCCTTTGTAGTGTACATCTCATCAAATTGAAATACCTAAGTTATGCCTCCACTGAAGTGTAGCATCATTGTCGATCATTTCATCATGAAATGCCCAATAAATCCATTAGTGTCGTAGATATGAAGGTCATAGACTATTAATTGGGTGTTTGAAAAAATTCTTGTAATGTAACCCTCCTGCTTGATGGGATATAATTGGAAATTAATAAAATTTAATTTCCTCATGCACTAATGTCAATACTGACCGATATTTCATTTACAGGTACAGTCAATGCAAACGGAGAGACAAAACGACAAAGAACCTCCTACACCCGCTACCAAACCCTGGAGCTAGAGAAAGAGTTTCACTTCAACCGCTACTTGACGAGAAGAAGAAGAATCGAGATCGCCCACGCCCTCTGTCTGACAGAGCGGCAGATCAAAATCTGGTTCCAGAACAGGAGGATGAAGTGGAAAAAGGAACACAAGATGGCCAGTATGAATATCGTTCCGTATCACATGTCTCCCTATGGTCATCCTTATCAGTTTGACCTGCATCCTAGTCAGTTCGCTCATCTCGCAACTTAGGATGTTTTATTGAATGTGATTCGTTTGTTATATAGGTATTTTTGTTTTATTTTTTTGATTTTTGCTTGACGAAAGCGACAAGGGTGTGGTACCAATTTTTGCTTGTAGATTATATGTCTGCAATGGATTGGGCTATGAATATGGGTTTATCTTAGAGAAAGAAAGCCAAAAACTTTCTCTCCAAAAATATATATCTCCTAAAATATGCCTCTTTCAATTTAAAGTTTATCTTGTTATTGAAAATGATAAATTGAAATCTGAATCTTGCTAAAACTCATTGCACGTAGGCGTACAATTCTACATGTCGCAAATTTTTTGCGTCAAAACTATGTCTGTCTCAACACATAATTTGTGGCGCTTTGAATGGATCTTTCCGCTTTTATTGGTATAACACATAGATGAAAACTACATGTATGATAGTACCTCTTTTTAATTTTTTCACATTTTTATCGTCAGTAGTTCTTTCAAAATCGAATAAAAACGTTGGTCATTTGACATGAACTTGGCAACAGCGTAAAACTTAATTATATTGCCTAATCTAATTTTCCTCTTCTTCTTCCTGTATTTTTGGTCTTCTGACTGTGCGTGTGACATGGCCAACTTGTTCTTGAGGTCAATTGGATTAGTTTCGAAATTGAGAAGCATTTCATATTACGAAAAAGGCTTCATTTCGGAATTTTATAAAAGAGGTATTTCATTGTATAGTACTAATTGAATAGATATAACGTTTTTTCATTCATGTACTCGTTTCTGCGTTACAAAAGTCATATACATTTTGTAACAGGGAGTGGAAAGGGAGGGGTAAGCCTTGATGGTAGTTACATCACAGCCATTTTTGGATCTTCGATTTTCCCTCGAAATGTAAGGAAATCGTTATTAATTCCTGATGAATGAATCACTTTCTTATAGAAGTTCCTTTTTTTGAGAAATGTATAGGTCTACTATATGCCAGTGTACATTGGATCTAATGTAGGTAGCTGATCCTCTTCAAAAACTTGACGTTGACGTTGATCATGCAGTACAGAATGAAGTTGAGTAACCAGTTGATATTTCTCAAAAGAAAATCATTATGTACCACTATTTCAGTAACTGACAAAAGTCAGTTAATTTTTATCCAGAAACAGATAAAATAAATAATAACATAAATTACTCATACAACTTCAAATTCAATTCAATTGCTAGAACTACATATAAAAAATATGCTACAATTTGAATGATTTGTTGTTCAAAGAGGGCAAAATACAATAAAGGAGTTGAAAGCAAGCTATTCATTTATTGATAAAAATATTGCATTGAGTCTGATTTTATAACACTATGGAGACACCCTACATTTTGTTTTATAAGTTCAGATGATGTGGTGCTGCAGGTTTTTCCGGGTTTTCCTGCAGCTGAAAAAGCAACTGCTCCACTGGAATCAATGAAGTCGCCCCGGAGCGCCAATTAATTTTTATTGTTGTTTTTATTTTTATCGTTGTTTTAATAAATTGATAAAATATACACTGATGCAAATTTCAAAAAAATGGCTGGAAATCAAAAGTATCTGAAGCAGCCCAGAAAACTTTTTCCAATAATTTTTTTCAATATTCTGGAATTTCTTTCGAAAAAAAAAAAAGAAATTTCATCACAATAGAAGCGGAAATTGATCCCGACAACAAATTTCGAATAGCTTCATCCAAATAATTGATAAAATAAATAGAAAAATTACAAACTACGCAGATCACACAAATCATTTGGGGAAATAACTGGGTTCCTAAAATTGAATAATTTCTGGAAATTATTGTTCTGATATCGAATTCGATATATCATCATATAACAATCAGAAAAAAAAATTCAATAACATTTCAAAACAGAATGATTTTTGTAGTTGATTTTGAAATATCTGGAATGCAAAAAACACTTTTGAGTCCAAATAGGAACCAACTACTTTTTTATATAATTATTTTCATTTATATTTTTTTCATTTGGTCGAACATATATAAAGAAAGTATCAAAAGTTATTTTGTTTTCATATTTCTGAATATTCGTTTAATATTCTATTAGTTGCTTATTAACATAGATATATTTTCAGTTGAGAGAACAAAATATCAAATTTTTTCGTGGGATGATAAAAAGAGAATATTACACATATTAATATAAATCATATCCATTCCAAGTCTAGAGATTGTTTTCTTATATGGAGCATTATTTTGTAATGAAGAGAATCTACACAATCCTTACGTCAGTCATATACATTTCACTCTTTCAGTTAGATATTTTGTGTCAGTTGGGGCTATAACTGAATTTTCAAAAATTTTCACTGGATCATGTCTCCGCAGCTGATTGAAAAAACTCTATACCACATCCTGTCTAGCATTCGTTTTCCGAAAATTTTATTTAGCATGAAATTTGAACAAATTCGGATGTATACAGGGAATTATACTTATATGTCGCTGTTCAACTGTTTGTAAATAAGCTGCATCTGTCTCTTTTCAGCTGTCCGCTATATTCACCATCTGAGTGTGAAAGCTGTAGTTCACTTCTTATTTTTTATTCATTGCTTGCTATGTTTCGGAAAGAAAATTGGTCAAGTTGTTTTCACGTTCTTAGTTTTCATTTGGAAACACTTTGCTAAAATAGAAAGTCAAGTCAAATAACTGCATTGCCACCACTATGAAATGTATCTATGTAAATAAGCACCAAATGACATATGTTTGACATGCAGGACATTTTGCCATATCCATGGTTTCGACATAAAAGTTCCACCATCAATGGCAATGATAAAAGGCCCTTCAAATAGTCCAAGCTTTCATATCGACCAACATTCGCCTCCTGTCTCTCTCTAACAGGCAATTCGATGATCCCAGAAAGTCGAAAGTTCGTTCGGTGGCTAATGTCGCAGCTTGGCTATGCAACGGTCCTCCTTTGGGAGTTCAATTTATCATTGAGGTTTGGTACTATCCTGTATTATTGCTGATCTTTATTGCCAGAATAACTATTTTGCATCAAGACAAATCATCTCTTGATAAACTTTACTGTATTGAAATCTGTTTTTGTCGTTTCTCGAACATGCAGCTTTTATAGCTTTTGAATCTCAAGCACCAAGACAAGACCTGGAAATCGTTATGGGTTGCTGAAGTTTAGAAATAACATTGATTATCTTGATACCATAATCAAAGTGTCTAAAAATGTTTAAGACATTAGATTCAGCAGCTCAAAAATCGCAATTTCATTGAAATTAACTTACTATCAATCGAGTCTTCTGTATGGTTCTCTCCTCCAAAAATGTTTTACTGTTCTGTTTCGAAATTGCAATTCCCTTGGGTCAGTTGACTCAAATCTCAGTAATAGTTAATCATGTGATTAAGGCCATGTATTGACGTCATATGACGTGCACATAGCCCATAGTAAAGTGTAGTCATTCAAAGTCAAAAGTGTTGTGACGAGGGGTTAGAAACATGAAACGCCTGATAACGTAATTCAAGGTCGTCCAAGGGTGAAAACTTTCTAAAAGAAACCTAGTCAAGGTCTTCTGGCATGGTCCTAGGCCATTTCAAGGTCAAGTGGTGGGGGTAGGACTTCGGATCGGTATAAATCAATTACTGTTATGGTTCACATACACTCTAGAGGCAAATTAATATTCATGGGCAAATAGGAAAAACCATTACTGATGTTCACTAAGTACTGGAAATAGAAAGAAAAAATGCAATGAGACCCTGAGACACCAATATTTACCGGAGCATTGAAAGAAGTGACGTCAGAAGGTTCTGATGTAGAAATAGGGAACTATATACCATTATGCTAAACGAAGAATCCGGGGAAAAGGTCTCAGTGGGAAAAAAAGGATTATGCCTCAAGGCAATGTATCTGCTCATCGGTACAGTTTTGAAGAACAAAGTTATAGAACTGAAATTCGAATTATCAGGCTCATATTCTCTAGATTCGTCCCCATTAGATTTTTTCAAATATCCACACTGAAAAAAATGGCTTGAGAGGCAACGCCTCAACTGGAAGATCATCTCCAGAACCTTCTCAAATCATACTCTTCCATTTATAACATACAGTTTGAAAAACGCTTCGAAAATTGTGAAGCTAACTCAATTTAATAGTTTTTCTATGTCTCCAACATACTGAATGAACCATGTATGTATCATTATCATTATGGATCATATCATTATCATGTATCATTATCGTTGTGGAATTGGCCGCGGTGGTAGTGCGCCCGACTCACGATCGGAAGATCATGGGTTCGATTCCCGCCTCGACCAGATACTTTTCTCGAGAGATTTTAAACAGATTTAAACAGATTATAATCGAGATATCATCATAGATTTTTGCGAAATGGAACCGTGAAACCAACATGCACCAATTTTCAATAACATAAACTACAAAAACCTTCCTTCCCATCCCTATGAATGCACCCTGATTGCAGACTCTCACGCTGCTTTCGTGTTCCAGATTTCCACCTGGCGTCCCTCCAGGACGAAGGATATGCATTCCACCAGGCCATGGGGATGGGAGGTATGGGAGGCATGCAACGTAGCCTCTACGCTTGCGGGAGTCCTTACAGCTAGCCCTGGGCCACCTACAACGGAGACTGCGGCCCTTCCTAGGCCCGAATCGGATAATGCAGCAGTCTTCGGGTCATGGTAACACGATGGTTTATCTTGTGAGTCCGGGTGGCAGTTAAGAAATGAGGAATTCACTTAAGACATAGAGGAAGGAATATTTTTTGGTCGGAACGTAATGATGAATTCATGTGTTGAAAATGTTTGTGTCATTAATGATTAAATCTGATATGGTTTGATGACAAATTGAGTTTCACTTTGATTTGAAACTACTGAGGCATAGTATTTTTTCAGTGAACACTAAAATAGTGCCAATTATCTATAACTGACAGTTGACAGACCAAGCTTTCGACAGAATGAAGTGTTGCATACCTATAAAAGTTACTTCAAACTATAGGTTATCTATAGTCGTTAGTTCAAACCGTCGATTAGCTATATTCAACAGTACGAACTGCCAATCACACGTTGTCGACAGTTTAATCTGTCTATAATCAACTGTTCAAACTATAAATTATCTATAGTCGACAGTTCAAATTATTTATTGGCATTATTCAACAGTTTAAAGTGTCAATCACCTATAATCAATGGTTGAAATTGTCAAATAGCCATATTCGATAGATTAAACTGTCGATTATAAGTAATCTTCAGATTATCTGTAGTCGACAGCTCATACTATAGAAGAGCGATTTTCGACAGATTGAAGTATTGATTACTTATGATCTGAATAGATTGATCCATCCATTGAAACTGTCGAATGGCCTTATTCATTTACTTATATCACACAGTTGAAACTGTGGTTTGATATTTCAAACCATAAATTATTGCCTGTCGACTTTGTTGAAACTGTCAACTTTGGCTAATAGATAGTTTGAATAGTAGATTAAAGATAATCGACGGTTTGAACTTTCAATTGTGGGTAAATTTCAGACTATCGAATAAAAATAAAAATACTGTATAGCCGCTCTGAGTCTATATAAAACTTAACGTCTTGTGTGTGGATTTTGAAAAAACTGGTCAGTTCGATGGTCCTGCCTTTTACTATCAATATTCTTTTTTTAACAAACAATATGATCATCACAAAAGGATATCTACTTGTTAATGCCTCAGGGCCTATTAGAAATTATTGCTGAACTTGGAATTTATTTAACAGGGGATGAATAGTTATAAAATCCTTCTTTTCATAGACCAAAAATACGGGGAGAGTAATTTCTTTCATGTATAATTTTTCGAGTATCTCTATTATTTGAAATAAATCATGTATCATTACTCAGCTAAATACAGATAGAGCACATGGATCAAGACGATGATTTTTTTCATATTCGTAATTGTTTTAGAAATATTATAAAAAAAATATCAGAACAAATTTTTAATATTGATTTTGTTTCTGTGAAAACATATCTGTGATCCCAAAGGTGATGGAAAGTGGGATAGACTATCTCTCGAAATTTTCAAAACCATCAGATATGTAACTCCTCAGCTAGAGAATTGTTGTGTATTTTTTGTTATTCAAGTAAAATGCGGTTGTTTCTTCAATTATATATTTTTCTTTTGCCTCATTATATGGTTGCAACAAATTTCCTTGTTGAAGTAGAATTATTTGCTATCCACACTGAATAATACAATTTTCTGTGAGATTTTTGGAATTTCATCGATGAATTTCCAGATTATACCGAAAACTTTGTTATTTTTGCAACCAGCGGTGGATCAAACCACTCTTTCTACGGACTTGTGGTTTTTCATGATGGTTGCTCTCAAAGTATTACTCATAAAAATACTTGCTGATACTATTCAAAACTATCGCCGAAATTATCGGATTTTCATTTATAATAGACATTCATTCAATTTTTGAATAATATCACCTATCAATCGTCTCAACATTTTTCATTTTAAAAATTTAAACTCATGAATTTTTCTCAAGAAATATCATTTTGTTAGGAAACTTTGAACTACAAAGATGAGTGTGATATATTATGTAAATTAGATATTACTTTCACTGGGATTGGAATTTGTAATTCTGAGGTCAACAGTTATAAAATATACATATAACTTTCAATATGTTTGATACATGGTACTACCATGAGCTCATTGATTTATTTGCTTTACATTACGGTTATTTTTCCGTATATAAATGAAGATTTCTGTTCTAACAATTTTGTAATGAACGTTGAACATATAAAGGTTAACTTTGAGAATGATACACAAGTAAACTTCCATTAATTTATTATTATAACACAGTTATTTCAAATAATCTACCGATACCGAAAATTTCCATCTGGTACATATTACAAGCGGATATCCAGCAATCATTTTTATTGTTAAATTCAGATATCCTACTACCAGTCTGCTACAGCATTTCTAATGACCCCACTGAAGTGGTTGAAATACTATAATTTACCTACCAATTTCTTATAACTAACGGGTTAGAAAAGACAGTTGGTCAGTTCTTAATTCTTTGGCAAATTCTCATCAAACGATTCAGTCTCTTCAACTTTTTACTGTGCTCGAATTCATCATTACTGAAATGTTTTACAAAAACCCTTGGGGATGTTCCCTAACAACTGCCACTAAGTTTCACGAAATGAAAGATGAAACATCGTGAAGTACCATGATTGAATAAAGTATATTGGTTTTGTGCCAATGAACATTGAAAAAGTTTTCTGAACTGCGTCAAATAGTGCGCAACAATTATGCAAGTTCGTTAAATTCACTGTGTATACGAAATAATGTCAATACAATAAAAATATTTGTTATTTTTCATAACTGATTCGGGTAAAAACTGCTGATTCTGATAGAGTATTAAGTAGCCTACGTCTAACGAAAAATATGTTTTTTCAAATTGTCCGTCAAAACAGGTCATTTCTCCAATGAAACTCTGATTGTTCAAGTTTTTGAAATGAAATACTTTACTGTAATGCACTGTTTGGAACCTTTTTTATAGTAATGAATATTACTGGAGTTTAATCCCAATCACCAAATTGTTATTTTTTACACCTTAGTCTTCCTATTGAAAATGATCACTTGGTGATTGAAACAGTGTCGAGGTGTTAAAAATGACGGTTTTGTCTTGGGACTAAACTCCAGTAATATTAGTCGTATATTGATACTCTATCTCATTCAAAATTCTGGGTTCACAATTTCCACTTCCAGAGTGTTGAATTCCAGTAATCTTTATCTGAGGTTATGAAATATATAATGAATCGTGCATCTGATCTTGGTGACTTGGTACATTAACTGTACACTGTACATAAACTGTACACTGTAATGCAGAACACTTTACTTTATTAATTGGTGCAATATATTGTTGAAATTTGTTTTCCCAAAAAGTTGTTTTGAACTACTTTGTTGTATATTTTTCTTTTGTGAAAAGACATCGTGCTCACTTTATTTAATAATGGTTTGAGAAAAACAAGTGTGATTATACAGTTAGGGCATAAGTGTACATAAATAGATCCTTCACTTTTCTGTAAATATTTTCATCAATTGTGGATAAATTATTAAATTAGTTATATACTGAGTGAATGCTGATTATATAAGTACATGTACATACAATTAAATATAGTATAGCCTTGACTCGTGATGTACAGAGTGTGTCAAACATACTGGGTCATGTTCATTGGTATGAAAATGTTGATCAATAATACTTGGCTCGCTCTGTATTTCATCATCTAGATATGGACCTATGTCCAATCAGAAAAAAAAGAAATTACCTCCCATCTTTAGAGAAGCCTCTATAATGTTTCAAATCAGTATTTGAAAATGATGAAATGCCGTACTGAGGATAATTTGTAAAATTGTACTATAGTGTTTATATCGTTAGTTGAATATTGTTTTAAATTTTGTTCCATTTATTTATGTACTTGAAATAACATGTGTGTGTGTGGAACAAGCAGTTAGATTGTACATCTTGATATTAGTTACTGTTGTAATTGTCCATTCTGAATAAAACTATTAATAAAATATGTTTATTTTTTCACCTTGGTAGAAGTTATGATTCTGTTGAAAAACAGGAGATTCCATTTTCTGTACTGAAGTGAAACAGGAAATGCAATGTTTCTTAGTGCATTTCATTAGTTCCGACTTCCATTGTCTAATGTGATATAAATTGATTTGAAATCCCTGAAAGAATCTATAACAATGAAAAAGATCAGCTAAAAAATAACAATTATAGTAAGCAAAAAAACTGAAATAGCAATTAAATAAAATGCAAGCAACAATTAAAAATAGGTCTGATAACAAGAAATGAAAATTAAAATATATTAATAAAAAATTTTAATTAAAAGACTCCAAGCCAAAATTCGATTGTTAGTATCCACAATTGTCTTCAGGAGAAGACTGAACGAAAGTTCAGATGAAAGTATTGAGCACCAACTATATTGCATAGAGAAACACAAAATGTTTGTAGAAGAAAATGTATTATTGTATTGAAAAAGTACAAAACAAGATTCTTGAGCTTGATGTGCTTTGTCGAAAATTAGAAGAAAAACAAATCTCTGACACATGAGCTGAGTTTCAAATACCTTTGAATTAAAGAATGCAAATTTTTATAGTGTTATTGCTGAGTTTACTAAGAACGTTTCAACAGTAACGTAAATCATACCAAACGTGAAAGTTTTCTGAATATCTACAGTAACAGGATAATTACGAAATAAATCAGGCATGACATGAAATAGTGTTAAGTAGCAAATTATCTGATGTCATTCTTCAATATAGACTATAGAAAATGCAGGAATTGAGGAAGTTCTTGTTTCTAGTTTTCTCACAGAAATCAAATAGTTAGGATATAACTGAAAATCCTGGGCACCAAATCTACTTTGACAAAGCAATTTCTGATTTATGAAATAAAAAAAAATATATAACCACGTACCCTTCGAGCCTTTGGCGAGAAGCGCTTACTGCGCAAACTCTGCTGCAGGCAACCAGTGATGCAATTGATCCAGGTTCATGTTTAATAAACCCTACAAAATAAAAATAAAACAGAACACAGCGTTAGATGCTAAAAATGCAATACGCATATATACAGACGGCTCAAAAATCAAAGAAAGCTCAGGATGTGGAGTCTACTCCAGATCACCAAGCCTATGGATCACGTGGGGAATGGGAAAGAATACCACCGTGGTCCAAACAGAACTGGCTGGTATCTCAATCGCCACAAAAGAAATAACCAGAAAAGGAACTTCTGGCAAAAACATAACAACCTGCACTGACAGCAGAAAAGCCCTATTAGCCTTGAACAGACAACGTGTTACCTCAGGGCTGGTACTAGAGTGCCACCAATATTCAGCCAAAGCCTCGTTAGATAATAACATTATCCTGAGATGGGTTAAAGAGCACGACAGGAGTAAAGGTAATTGCATTGCCGACTATATAGCTAAGGAAGCGGCTGGACTAAAAATTTTAGGAGCCAGTGGCACCTACGGCCTGATGACTTCGGAGTTATCATCAATAAGACAGTCTGTGTTCGGCAAGTCTTGGCCTACACCTGCCGATATAAACGAGATGTCTCCAAGTGACCTGCCCATCTTCCTGGAAAGGACAGGATGGACGATGACCTAAGAGAACAACTCCTCGGGAGGATGTACAATGGGTCACATGTGGCGTAAGTGCTGTGGATCTACACTCACCCACCCTACTCTACAGATACAGATACCCTCCGAAATTAAAAATGAGAAAATGTATTACAAATTCAGAAAAATAATGAGAGAAGCTCTACTCAATACAGCATGCTATAATCTCGAGGAATTTTACAGTGAAGCTCTGCTATGATTCAATTTCAGATGTGATTTTATTCTCAGTATGTACTATTCATATTTTATTTCCTTTTTCAGTTGATTTTTATGTAATTTTTTCAAACACTCACTCATTTCATCCCTATTTGACATATGTTAATTTTTCAACTGATTAATAAAAGATTGTTCTACTATTGTAAATCTTTTGTGTATATAAAAAATCACTATTCAACATTTTCTTTCTTTTCTATGATTCTGTGATAATGAGAACGTTGTTACTTGGAAAATGAAGTATATTTCTCCCTCTCTCTCCTTCAATGATATTACAGGTCATTGAAAAATTTACGGAATATTCCGTCGTACAATGATACTGAATCATTTCATTTCAAGTATCATACAAAGAATATGTTTAATGAACGATATATTCATATGTGGTTTTTTAGAGTTCGGCAGAGCCGTACTCTTACCATCTGACACGAAAAACCACCCACCATACAAACAAATTGGCTTCCTTAAAAAGCTGGGTATATTTGTCGAGTGTGAGTAGGTGTGAGCCACAATATACCCTTGCAGGTTGCAGTGGAGGGTTGATAGACCCACTCACTTTGGACCTTACCTAAACTATATTATGTAGAGTAGTAGGAGTACTATGGTTGGTGAAATCTGTATTGGATCAGAGAATTCTGAACTATAAACCTGTCTAGGAATCTATGCGACTGTATTTCAAGCGGATATTTACGCTATTGACTTGTGTGCGAAGAGAAGAATCCAACGTCATACACAAATCAATAAAAATATTCTCGGACAGTCAAGCGGCCGGCGTTGGAAGGTCGTGGCTCCTACCAAGCCAGTTGCCAAAAACGACTCTCCTCGAGAGGAGGACTAAACAGATTGTCTCTGGCCTGGAAGGCAATGAGGCTGCTGACTTTCTCGCAAAGGAGGGTGCTGCAAGCAGCTTTATCGGACCAGAACCTGTCATTGGCATCGTTTAAGGCTTTGCCAAATCAAGATTGAACATCTGGATGCCAAGAAGATGTATGGACTTCTGTCAGAATCTTCTAGGATTGGTTCACTCCAAGGCCTTTATTCACCCTTCGCAGCTTGAGACCAAACAGTTATTGGACTACAGTAGGGATGAACTACGATGTCCAACAGGCCTTCTTACAGGTCACTGTCATTTGAATCATCACATGCAGAGACTTGGACTGTCGGAAGACAGTAAGTGTCGCCTTTATTTGGAAAATGATGAAACAGCAGAGCCCATACTTTTTGCTTGCCCCACTGGGGACCGAATTAGGTTTTTAGAGTTCGGCAGAGCCGTACTCCTACCATCTGACCTGAAATACAACGCACCATACAGAGTAATCAGCTTCGTTAAGAAGCTGTGTTCATTTAGTCGAGTGTGAATAGGTGTGAGCCACAATAAACCCTTGCGGGTTGTGGTGGAGGGTCAAACACACCCACTCACTTTGTACGTAACCTAACCTACATTCTGATGAGCAGTAGGAGTGTTATAGTTGGAGTAATGGGTATTGGATCAGATAATTTTGACCTCAGTGTATTCCAGTTTTTTTTGAAGGTGAAATTTCAGAAGAGAAAAGTAGTATCATTACGCAGATCTCTATTATAATTCCAATTCATGAAATTTTTAGTTTTTCATATTTTTGGTAATCTTTATCTCAGAGTTTGCACAACTCGTGAATGTTGTATGTCCTCCACACTGTCAAAAGAAAGACCCAAAATTATATTAAAAACGTTGGCAATTAGTTGCCAAAGTTTTTAATATTTTATTATTTCACTGTATAATAATTATCAACTGCAACGGTTGCCAAAAAAAGTTACTTGTCAAACTCATTTTTATTTTTTTATTCGTCAGTTTTCAATATTCTGGTATTAACTTTATTCACTTGTGTTGAGAACAAGTAAACTCAGGCATGCAGTTCCAGTCGCGGTTTCTCAACAAGGTCAGAAGAAGAAAACAACAATATAGGGTACAGAATTAAAAATTGAAGTCTACACACAAAAGGACATAAATTGTATTCACTATTCCACATATTTCGTACTACAAATGTAAATTTAGTGCATTTCATGCTACATCGCATCAAACGGCCGGTGGTCAAACATCAAAATAAAGTCTTCTGTGTCATTCTTTGCTCGTCCAGAAAGACATTTATGTAGCAACGATGCCCACTGAGAAATTTACATAAACTCTTTTTGCATACAAACAGAGG